GAGACAGTGACACAGAACCTCGACCTGCCACCAGCTCTTAGCCTATGATCAACAGCGTGGTTGATGTTCCCAAGTCTCCTACTGAAGTCCATAGGTGTTAATTGCGACCTTTCATTTAGTGTAGTGCAGTTCTATAGCTACGATATGGGTGTGCAGGCGAAGTTTCATGACCCCTCTTTTACAGCTGGGGAAACTGAGGCAGGGAGCGGAAAAGACGCCCACATCTGCACTAGAAATGGGAAAAAAACAGAGATCTCTCCGCTCCCTCTCTCCCTGCGTAGAGGTTGTTGCGATCAATGCTTATTTCCTTAATAGATTCGGAGTCCTTTCCCAGTGCGCAGATAGTCCTCTGCAAGGCCACGAAGGAAACAGCCCCAAACCTGTAATTCAAACACCCTCACGAGGCCTTTGGTCATGATGGCCCAGGGGATCACCCTCTCAAACAAGCTATAAAGTGCCACCAGCTGAAGGAAATCCTGGAGCAAACTGGTTCACGACCATTGTAGCCAGGGTCAAGAGAGCTGCAGCAGGGTTCTATCGTGGGTTTCCTAAGAGACTGTCCCTCTCTGGGCATGTCTTCCGAACATCCAAGTCTCAGAAGAAGAATGGAGGACGATTTGTGGCCTTGTCTAGGTGGGCTTTGTGGGAGGCCCATGCTATAGCACCAACAGGATGCTAACATCCCAGGTTCTCCACAGGACTATCGGTGGGCAGGAAGAACGCAAGGACAAACCAGAAAGCAAGGCCCCGATCCAGGGAGATGGAGAACACCCCCTCCTATTCCTATTGGAGTCAGTAGGGTAGTGAGGATGTGGAATATCTCATAGGATCAGGCCGGCAGGCCTGAAATTTGTTCTTGGAAAGAACTTCTGCTCTTCCTGCCAATCCCAGGCGCCCACATAGACGTCACAGAGGTTTCTTCCTTGTTTTGTTTAATAATCATATATACAGAACTAGACCGTTATTTACATCCAAGTACACTTGTCTCTGTATAACTTAGCAGCATATAATATACGATTCGGTTCCTATTTCTGTTAATAAGCACTTCACACACAGAAAACCGTCAGTGATTTTCCTAGTTTTATGCTAGCAACGCTATCGTTTGCGCGTCTGTTTGCAGCGACGTGGTGATCGCCAGTCAGGAGATTGGTGGAAGCTACGCAGTACGGGGCAATAGTTAGTCATATCAGCGTTTCTAATCTCTAACCCTTTCCCAGACGGCTGCAAGGCTATTACACACCAGCTGATCTGGCCATAAGCCAAAGCATCCCCGGTGTGACGTCTTAAAGCAATAGAAGCAAAATCATGGAAGGAAACCAAACACACACAGACAGAAAGGATCTGACGCATCCCTGTCTTACGGGAGCGTAACTCGTTTGAGCCACATCTTCAGCTAATGGAAGGCCATGGGTCTGAGGCAATGAAATTACACTGGTGCCCACCAGCTAAAGATCTGCTCTGCTGGATTCAGTGGAGCTGTTCATGATCAAACCCTCTGCTTTGCAACTCTCTGGCAGCGTGCTGGAGCATTAGCTCCGTATTGACCCGGGAGGGAAAAGTGTCCCTGACTCACCAGCATAACTTCTCAGTGCACCTCGGGTGTTCGGTGCCAGTCTCAAGGAAAGACAGGCTTACCCCTGCTTAGCTCAAGACATCTGAATAGATCCCAAACCAAGCACGTGGCACATCTGCTAGAAGAACGGTTATGGCACATGCCCTCCCCCGTCCTTACGTGGCTCTGTGGTCCCTAAAATCGGCAGCATGACGAGTCCGTCGATCACTCGGGGAAAGGAAGGGAACAGAACTGTGCACTTCCTAGCATTTTGGCAAAACACCTGCCCACAGGATTCATGGGGAAAGTAACCTCAACCCGGGCCCCCAGCCACCTTCTGGTTGTGGCAACACCCGAGCGGGCGTCATGCACAAAGAGCAATTTGCAGCACAGCTGGCCTGCAAAAATGGTGACTTTGCTGACTTCTGCTTGTTCAAGTGTCTGGCTAATTTGCATAGAAAACAGAGCCCGTGAAGGAAGGAGCGTTCAAGGTTCAGCTTTTTCTCGGCCTCGCCTTTGCAATGACTGATTCCTGTCACAGCCTGAGTGTCATTTTAACACCCCCAGATCCTCAGCTGGTCTGGCTCATTCTACACTGATTTACTGTAGCGTAGGGGGTTCTGGCCCGAATTTTCTCACCCACCTGCCTCAATGGTGTGAATTGGACATTAAGGGAAGTCTTAAAACACTCCCCCTGCCTTTTTACTGCAGTGATGTTACAGTGCACTGAATGAATATGCACGCAGGGGACTTTCACTGCATGGATTGTTGGCCTCCCGACTCTGGGACACAATTAGGGTATGTCTACACAGCAACTAGACCACTGCGGCTGTGCCAGCCAACTCTGGCTCCAGGGACTTGGGCTGTGAGGCTGTTTCATTGCTGTGTGGTCTCCTGGAACGCTCAGCAGGGTACCAGACCCCTTCCCTGGAATTCTACACAGCCTTGAAACAGTCCCGCAGCCCGAGCCAGCTGTGGGGTGTTCTTTGCTGGGCAGCACATACCCTTAAGGAGCTTTCAGGGAGCGTATTGCTGATCTGATTTAGATCTCTCTCTAATTGGGAATGTTTCAAGCCTGCAGAACATGCACGCAAGGTCTGTTCTGTTCTGCATTGGTTAGGCACCAGTAGGAATCCCAGGGATGTACTGAGTGGGTGGAACGGGGCTGATGCTAACATCAGGGGGGTGAACATCCTCACAGGCTGACTGTTTGTTCCTTGAAACATCTGCTCTTTCAATCCTGGAAGATTACATATCAGGTGGGACCTGAGACCTGTGAAAACTGGTCTTTTTAGCCACTCAGCATGATTCCCTTCCCGCCAAGGATTGCAAAGCCCTTTGTGAACAGGAATCGGTTCATCCCTGCGAGGTAGGGAAGGATACTTATCTTGGTTTAATTCCTGGGGAAACTGAGGCACAGCACGGTGACATGCCCAAGGTCACCCAAACAGAAAATCAGATCCCTCGCCATCCCGTAACTCCTTATGACGGTTAACAGCGAGGGTTTCGGGCACTCAGCCCCTCCCATGGATTGACGGGGATCCGGGGCGCTCAGCCCTCAGAGAATGCGGGTGACCAGCTCCCTTCGAGTCAAGGGAGCTGTTTCGCTTTACGCCCACGGAGGGACAGGTCCAGCTAATTTACAAGAGAGAAAAATGGTGCCCAATCGTGTAGACACTTCATCGGCCTTTGCACACAAACGAGGCATGTGCAGCAGACCCACGTGCCTCAGCTATGCCTCCCACAGGCTAGTTGTGCAGCAACTCCCTCAGTGTGTGTGAACAACTGGGTGTGCAAATTAGACACCCCTCAGTGCCCCGAACACAGGCCTATGGGATTGCTGCTGAAAGCCAGGCTGCAGTGCCCCAGGAATTGTCACGGCAGGCGCCAGGAAGGGAAACCACCGTCCCGGAATGGCCATGGGGCCAGGTGGAACAGCAGTAGAATGGGCAGGCGCTACCACTCCAATGTGCTCTTCGAGTCGGTCAGCCCTCTGCACCCTTACGCGCTTGTCACTGCCAGCTGTGGTGCTGGGCCGGGGGCGGATTAACAGTCGGCACCTGGAAACAGGAGCTGGGTTACACCACGGCACAATTGGCAACGGGCAGCAAAGCCAGCGCCCGTCGTAACTGGAATGCCACAAAGCACCCAGCTGAAGCTGGTGGTGGGGAGGAAGTGCCCCCTTGCGTGCTTCCTGGCGCTGGAGACAGAGAGGACGGTGGCTTAAGGTTGCGCCTCCTCACACCACTTCTCCCACTGACGCCAATCTCCCTCCTACCGCAAGTGCAACGGGGCTACCGCGAATACAGCCAGCGCCTGGCTCCTCTCTGCAAGGATGGGCTGTTGGACTCTTGCCACTGACTTCCAGAGAGCAGCCACTGATTTAGGGCCTCATCCAAAGTCCATCGAGTCAATGAGACTCTTCTCTGGGCTGTGCGTCAGGCCCACTCTGTCTATTCCGTGTGCTCACCCCATCTCCAAGAGCGGGGCCCACTCCCTGTCCTACACAGCCCATGCCAAGACTAGGACAACGCCTCTTGGCCCTCCATCAAAGACCATTTCGGGGGCAGCTGGCTTGGGCTCGTCCCCAGGACAGCCAGTTTCACGGGTATCTGCGTTCGTTTTTGCCACACTCCTGCAGTGTTTTCGTTGCCTCCCCCCGCACAAGAGAAGCCGTGGAGAAACCGAGGAGCCCTGTTTCCCAGGACCAGCTGTGCCGGGCCTTCCTGCAAGAAGCCTTCATTCGTACAGCATCAGCGACTGTTGTTATTCACCGGCGCCAGCTGTGGCCCAGGCTTGGTCACTCACCGCTGGTGCAAGCACAAAGGCCAAACCCAGCAGGAAAACAACTCCCTGAGAACTGGTCAGTTTCGCTTTCTCCCCCTGCCTGCTGGATCCTGAGATTTCCCCAAGACGGGCTACATCATGAGCCACCGTCTCATCGCTGGAGCTCAGCTCAGGGCAGTGTCTGGAAAATGAACAATTTCTGCATCAGCTGCTATTTCCCCAAGACTGCGCCTGCCCTGTCCTGCCGTTCTCGGTCAATACGCACTCGGGCCTTAACTCTCCCTGAAGTCGCTGTGTAGGGGTTTGCGTCGCCGCTCATTCTACGCCCTCATTCCTTCTAGCTCTCCCTCCGGAATAAGGCATTGGGCCTCCTTCCTAGCTACACTGAATCTGCACTGCTTCAGATTGGTCCCACCTGAAAGCCCCTTTACATAGAACCACAGAGCTGGGAGAGACCTCAGAAGGCCATCAAGTCCAGCCCCCTGCCCGAGGCAGGACCAACCCCAACTCAATCAACCCGGCCAGGGCTTTGTCAAGCCGGGACTTAAACACCTCTAGGAATGGAGACTCCACTACTTCCCTAGGGAACCCATTCCAGTGCTTCCCCACCCGCCTAGGGAAATAGTTTTTCCTAATATCCAACCTGGACCTCTCCCACCACAACTTGAGACCATTGCTCCTTGTTCTGCCACCTGTCACTATTGAGAACAGCCTCTTTCCAGCCTCTTTGGAACCTCCCTTCAGGAAGTTGAAGGCTGGTAGCATCCTTAGTGCGATACAGAATCAGGCCCTTTTATGGCCTTGGACACAGGTGAGATTTGGCAATTATGCAACCACATCTGCAGGCAAAACTGGGCCCCTCGGATTTTCCTACAGCCCCGATTCAGCACAGTTCTTAAGCATTGGCTATATTCTTAAAAAGCAGCGCAGACCTTTGTTGACGTGTTGCTTACTATGTTATGGTCTGATCTCCTGCCTCATCTAGCCAGGCATGTTCACCCACACAGCAGAATCTGCAAACGTTTGTTTCCTGAGGCCCTTCTCTACCTAGACCACCTCCCAGGGAACAGCAGCAGGAGGAAATGCAACCCTGGCACCTTTCTTTTGGGAACGGGATGGTGTCACCCCCGGGCATCCCCCAAGCATTAATTTCTGATTTGGACAAACCCGCCAGGTGTTCTCGGAAGCTTAGTCAAAGTTATGTCCTCAGGGATCGCTCCGGAGGAACGGGAATGGCTGCCTCAGTTATTGGGGATCCCTTTGTTTGGGCCAGGCCAGAACTACAGGAAGAATAGTGGGGGTTGTTACAATTTGCCATATCCGCTCCGAGTCCTGGAGTGGAAGGGATGTGGAATGTAAAAATTACCAAGCAGAAGCACTGCATGTTTTTGGAAGCTTGAACACCTCGCTTGATTCCTTTTGGGCTTGGCTCCCTGTACTATAACGGGCTTATTCTAATTCCCTAGTGACAACCATGGACCTTGGCAATTGTTCCCAAAGCATTTGCTATAGAGACTTATCTGACTAGGTCAAAGCCTACTTTCACTGAAGTCTGTGGCAAACCTCCAACTGACTTCACTGGATGAGGCTGTAAGACGAGGAACATCAAGATGGGATACCGTGTAGCACTGAACTGCATGGTTCTTCTGACCCCAAGACCTTTGCTCTATTAGCCAATGTGGCTAAAATGCCCTGAAACACCCTGTCGCTTTGCACTGTTCTGCTGCGTGCACTGGTAGGGGAAAGACATCCCTAACTCTCAGAGGCAAGGGGAGTTGGTTACGGTGGCGGGGGGTGTGGCAGCATGTATTGAAATAACAGTCACAGCAGATTCCAAAAGGGCCCCCGGGCCCCCCCCCCCCCAGCTGTACTAGGAGAAACAGATGTAACATCATCAGTAGTATAACAATGTACACCCACGGTTATTTTACCTACAGAGCACTGAGGAACAGAGTAAGGGCGTGGGGTTCGGAGCAGTCACCTCTGGTCAAAAGAGCATATTCTCCTTAGGAAGATCACTGGCTGGAGTAGGTAGTACATGCACAGTAATAAAAATGACTTTTATTCACTTGGTCCCTTGTTAGATCTCAGTGGACTCTATTCGCTCCAGCCTGGACGGAGTCCACGTTTTTTTCTCCTCGGAGTAAGACGGGCTGGTGGCCTTGGTGGACATGTCGTTCACTTTGTGCTCCAGCAGCTGGTTCTTCTGGTACATCTCCACGTAGTTCAGCTGCAGCTGCTTCTGGTATTTGATCACCTTCTCCTTCTCCTCCTGCCACGTGCGCCGCTCGTCCTCAAAGTCTATAATCTGCTGCTCCCGCTGCTGGCGCTCGAGCTTCAGCTCCGTCTGGAGCCGCTCCACCTCCTTCTTCAGGGCGTTCACGCTGTCCTCGTTCTGGCGCTGCATCTTGGCCTCATCGCTCTCGCAGGCCAAGGGATCCCTTAGCTTCTCGCTGAGCTCGGCGCTGAAATGGCCGTGGTGCCCCATGCTGGCCAGAGTCTGCTTCAAGTCAGAGACCTCCAGCTCACACTGGCTGAGTTTTTCCCTTAGCATCTGCACTTCGTTCATCTTCCTCTGCAGCTCATTCTCACAGAGCTCCAGGTTGACCGTCTTGGAGCTGTAGGAGTCTTTCAGGGTGATGATCTGTTCCTCCTTCTCTCTCAGGAAGTTCTTCCCTTCCTTGAGCTGGGTCCGCAGCCCCACGATCTCGTTCAGCTTCTGAGAGACGTCAGCCTGGGAATCCTTCAGCTGTTGCTTGAGCAGGGAGATCTCACCAGCTTTCTGGCATACCTGGAAGAGTAAGTGAGAGGTAGTCATGTGGGTGCCACATGGAAACCACCGCGTGTTGCCAGAGAGCCAAGTTCGCTTGGCGAGCCTGAGGCTGGTATTCCCCTCCCATACCATTGGCCTTATGTCTGGCCTTAAGCCACAGCAGAGGGAGCAGCAGCTGCTAATGCTGTACCTAGAAAGTATCAGAGGGGTCACCGTGTTAGTCTGAATCTGCAAAAGCGGCGAGGAGTCCTGTGGCACCTTATAGACTAACCAAAGTGTTGGAGCATAAGCTTTCGTGGGCAGAGACCATGCATCTGACGAAGTGGGTCTTTGCACACAAAAGCTTATGCTCCAACACTTCGGTTGGTCTATAAGGTGCCACAGGACTCCTCGCCGCTTGTACTTAGAAAGGCGCTCATATTGGTATAGTTTATTCCTGTCCTGGAAGGAGAATAAATGACAGTGGGACAACGAATCTTTATACCAATGTAACTGTGCCTGCTGCTAGAGGTCGGACCAGTATAACTATATTGGGTAAAAAAATATTTACGCCCCTAACCAGGAAAGCTGTATGGGTACCGAGTCTGTATATAGACCACACCAAGCACGTAGAAAGCAACACAAGACCTGTATGTGTGCTCCGTGTGGCTGGCATGGAGGCTCATGAACATGCTGAGTGCAGGTGGAACGTTGAGGTTTTTAACAGCAAGCCTCTAGAGATTGAACCTCCCAGATCTGAGACTCTCTGGTCTGGTAACATCCATGCAAGGCCATGGATGTTGCTGGACCTAAGAGCCCCAGAGGCGGGAGCAATGCAGGGGCTGGGGAGCCACGGCTGGGTCAGGTGGCATCTGGGGAGTCCCTGCCCTGGCCGGAGAACTCCCAGCGTTAGCGGGGCCAGGTGACCGGGGAGTCCCAGCCAGGTAACCCCTGGATGGAGCGGAGCTGTCAGCAGCCGGGCGGCCCCGTCCAGGAATCCCGGCAAACCTCCGATGGCAGCAGGACTGGCGGAGTCGGGCAGCCAGAATCCCCAGCGGCCATGGGGCCAGCCCTAACAGTGGAGTGGCTGGGGGGCATGGGCTGGGGAACCCCCGGCAACAGCAGGGCCAACCCAGCTGGGAACCCCGGGGAACATCCTGCTGCAGCATGGCTGGCAGCAGCCAAGCAGTCCCTGCCAGGAACCAGTGGGCAGTGGGAAGCCATGTCGTGCCGGTGTTAGGGGGGCCAGCGGCAGGATGGAACCCAAGGACAGGAGCCTGGGAGCACAGTAGCCAGGAGGGGAGGACTAACCTCCCCTGGTCTGGCAAACTCCCTGGTCCAGGACAGCTCAAGTCCTGAGGGTGCTGGACCAGGGAGGTCCAACTTGTAATACGCTCACGTGCAAACTGCAGTTTTCAGTGGCTTATAACTTAGTCAAGTCAGGGTGGCTTTGAGGGGTAAGTAAAGGGGAACTCTTTGACCCCAGAATTACCCCCCCCCCACATTGTTTTGATCTCACTCCAGTACATGGAGGTAACAGAGCTGTTCAAATAAAGCATTCGGGCTGGAGTTGACAGTTTTGGTTGGATGTATTCGTGGAAGTTTCATCATATGTCACATATTTCATTACAGTTAATGTTTAATTCCTGGAGACTCCAGGACAAATGCTGGAGGGTTGACGACCCTAATAAGGACAAACATGTTAACACTGGCAAAATTACTTCCTTTTGGTTAACTTTGTTCTTGGAAACGCTGAGAATGGAAAATGGAATGGAAGCCTAAACGAGAGAAATCTCTAATACATAAAAACATAGCATTTGAGCTGTGAATTCAAGGGCTTGCCTAAACACAGATGTTCCACCAGTGTAATTTCAATTGGTTTATAAACTGGTTTACTTAAAGTGGTACAAACCCCAATGTGGACACATATCAGTTGAAGTCTGACTTACTGCTGCTTGGCTGCCAGCTATCAGCAGCTGACCCTATACGAACTAGGTTTAAACCAAATGAAGAGGGCACATGTACAAAGTTGTGCTGGTTTAACTAAAACCAATTTAAAAAGAAGTCACAGCTTCTGTTAACCCAGAGGAACTTGGAGCATGGACGAAGCCTCAGCTGTGGCTATGTCTAGACTTCAAGTCTCTTTCGAAGGAGGCTTTTTTGAAAGATACTTTAGAAAAAGAGCCTCTAGACTATGACCAGTACTTGTGAAAAAGCAAGCCGATTTTTCGAAAGAGAGCACCCAGGCAGTCTGGATGCTCTCTTTCGAAAAAGCACAGTTTGCATTACATAATGCCTTTTTTTGAAAGCGCACTTTCGAAAAAAGGTGTTCTTCCTCGGAAAACGAAGTTTTCCGCGGCCGAAAAAAACCTGCCGCGTTCTTTCAATTTATTTTTGAAAGAACGCAGCAGCAGTCTAGACACAGGGGAAGTTTTTTTCGAAAAAAGGCTTCTTTTAAAAAAAAACCCAACCCTGTAGTCTAGACACACCCTGTGTTCCCACAGGCCAAAAAACCTCCAAATCGTGATGTAACAAGGATTATAATCCTAGATTCCTAGAACTGGAAGGGACCTTGAGAGGTCATAATGTCCAGTCCCCCACACCAGTTACAGATGATGATTGTGCCCTCCCTGTCTCTCTGCCACCAATGGGAATAAGGTAAAAAACGTTGACAAGAGATAAAAGGCAAATGACCACAATGGGAACCCCCTTCCCTTTTCTCACCTGCTGCTACAATCAGAGGACCTCAGTCAAAATGCTGTATGAACATTGGCTCAGAACATCTCTAGGGTGTTATCACAGCATTGGGGAAAATAAGATACAGAGA